CCGAACAAATTGAGATGCAGGCACACACATTGTCTAACTCATTTAGAAGAAATTGAAGATAATGTGTGTGCTACAATTGGAAGTTTATGTAAATATTTCTGATCAAATATTTGCTGACTGTTTTTTAAGTTTAAAAGAAAATGATGATGACAATAAAAATATTGAAAATTATATTAGAATAGAATTTCAAATTTTGATGCAATTTATTACATAAAATAAATTTCAATTGTGTTTTTAAATATTCTGTTAATAATTGAGTCATGCGTCACGCACGAATTACAAACTGTGTCTTGAGTCACGAATTGCGTCTCGCGTCACGAATTATGTCTTGAGTCACGAATTGCGTATTACGTCATGAATTGCGTCTTGCGTCAGTTGCATAAAATTATGGTAAGTGATGCAATGTTGATTTTTAATTGTATCGTGACTCAATTCAATAATTTCGGCCACATGTCATGTATAGTCAGAAAGAAGTTTTTAGATAAATTTTATGGAAATGCTAAATTAACAAACGATGAATATTATGAAAAATTGAAAGAGGAAAACTAATGGATAATGGAACTCTCTAAAATTTTATCTATAATCTTGTAAAAATATGGAAATGAATTTTATCAAAATATGGAAATATATTTGGATACCAGTGTTGTGACCAGAAACTCTCTTGACTTCCCGAAACGTTTCGGAAAATGAACCTACACTAAGCAGAAACCTAAGCATAAACTACTAACCTAAACTAGTTTCTGGTGGTTTCTGTTAGTTTCTGTTTGGGGTCTTCCCTAAACTCAGAGTTTCGGGTCACAACACTGTTGGATACAGATAATAATTTTTCATTCAATTACCCAAATTCAACAATTGTTGTTAAAATAGCACCTCTTATATAACTTTTTCCACAACTTTCTGTGCCACGCCGCCAATTTTGAGAAATCAAAAATGCAATAAAAATTTTACAGTCACATGATCGTCAAGTGCTAAAATAAATATATTAATTTTTCTTTTACATTTATTCCTATATATACATATGTAAATGATGATTAGAACAATAAACAACAACAATAATGACTATAGTGATGTGATTAAATATCAGTTAAAATAAAAGAGAAGTTTATACAAACTATTGGATGATTGATAAAACCTTTGTTAGTATATTTTGTTCATAGATCTTGCTTGTCCTTAAAGCTTACTTCAATTACTCCTACACAAACTGTTAAATAATTGATAAACATTCATTAGAATATTTTGCAAATCACATATTTCTTTGATTAATGCAATATTCTATTTATTAGATTTAAAATAAATGAACTTAGCTGTTCTTTGTATTTTTTTCAAAACTCTGCCACTATGTCTGGCGGACATTTTTCCCAAGCAGCAATTTCTTCGGCTGTATAATTTTTTCCATACCATTTTGCGGTAAATACGCTGTCTAATCTTTCTATTTCTTGTAATCTCTGCTCGCGAGAAAGAGAATTTCAATAATTTTGGGCTTTAACTTGGACTCGTTGTTGGGCTGGTTTTCCTATCTCTTCTTCTCCTCTACAACCTCCTTTTCCGACATAATTATAATTGCCACAAAGTTTTTCTCCGGGCGGAACTAATTTTATATTAAACCATTTTAAATTAATAATAAAGATAATTCTCTTCTCGTTCATCTAGAAAATTCACGTGACAAAAGATCTTCAATATTAGGAAAATTTTTCAAATTTTTATTGTTTCAATCCGTCTATTTTTGATATTAACTTTTTTGTGTGTAACACGTCATTTTAGGGCTAAACGTAGTAAATTCGGTAAACTTGTGCAACTTTGAAGCTCAAAATTCTCCACAACAACATGACATATCAATGAGATGAAATCGTGATTTTGTAGAGGAAGGTCTTGGCTTCAAATACATGATTTATTTTGGGGCGTTGCATTTCCATTTTTGGAGAATTTGAAAATCTACATCATCCAAATCCATCACATCTTTAAGTACTGTTAGTTCTCAAACTCGTATTAAAAAATAATTAATTTACGAGGAGGAAGTAAAAAAAAGGAGTATTGCTTTGAAGTATTTCTTTAAATGAAATCTCATCAAAAGTTCAAGACGCACAAAAACATCAATGATAAATCTAACTCGTTACAGCAGGATTACTTTTTAATGCAATGCTTAGAATACAAAAACGCAATAACTCAACATTAATAAAAATTTGGATGAAATTTAGATGAGAAGATAATACCAGTTCTTGACGAAAATATTAATGTATTCAAATTGTCGAATGAGCGCCAGAGAATTCCAATTCTTTCAGAAATAACCGATAATTTTTAATAATTCCAGCAACATCAAATTTTTTTATAATCAGTGATTAACCAATTAATTGATTTTTTGATAAGAATTTTTGATCGAGTCTAGTGTTGGTTGCCAAAACTATTTTGAAGAGGCGAAAGTCAAAACTAAAATTAAAAGTTATATGTCAAAACTAAATCAAAAGTCAATAGTCAAAAATCAAAACTTGTTTCGACTTATGGCGAAACCTTTTGACTTTCGTATGGTTGCGAAACTCTCTAATTTTGGAAACCAACACTAATCGAGTCCAAAAGAAACCATATTAAAGTCATATTTTTAACTCCAAACTCGTCTCCCTGGATTGTAAAGATAAGATCATAAAGTATTTTGATTAGTAATGTTAGCCGGCTTAGACGGCTTACATGGCTTAGCCGGGGCCTTCTGACTCTGAGATTTTGATTTGCAATACAATTAGGTTTTAACCCTTAACTATTAATAATTCGATTTTTATTATTTGTTGTACGTGAAAATGAAATTATGTGAATTCGCAATTCACATATGTGAAATTCAAATTAGCCAATCAGAATTTCACCCCACTCCATAATATTTCAATTTCACATAATTTCAAATTCACATACAACATTTATTATAATTTGAATGAAGGAGAGATGTTGATTATTTCTATAGTAATTTGTGAGGGTTACAAAGTAGTTTTTTATTTTCTGATTAAAAATCAAAAAATGCATCAATATATTCTTTGATGTTTATTCCATCTTATATAATAAAGGGATATAAATTTGAGGCACAAAAGCACAGTGCTATTTGATCATTTATTTGCAAATCAATTAAAACATAATTTTCGATTAAATCCCAAAATGCAATCTTTCTTATCAAGACCCAAGTTTGATCCATTTATCACCAACAATTTGTATCAATAATTTGCTAATAATGTCATCAACCGGCTTTAAAAATGTCATTATCAAATATTCTCAACTCAATGGTAGGTCCTGAGCTGGAATCTTCTTTATTTGACCAACTTTAGTTAGTCATGAAATTCCTCTCAAATTTAATTCTAATTTTATTATTTTGATTTCTTACCATCACCAAGACTTTTTAATTCTCTTGATTCAAGGAATGCATTTTCTGATGTTGAAGTGATAGATAATATAAATTTGAGTTTAGAATATTTTTCAATTAACAATTATAAAAATAAAGAATTCGTGGTTTATATATATAGTCGTGTGACTCCCCCCAAAATCTGGGGTAATATTTTTAAAAAATTATTAATTAATCCCCTTCATGATCAAAAACAGCTACTACTACCACTGATATATCGCCGCCATTATTTGTTCGCTATTATTAGGTTTTTTCCTTTTTGTCATTCATTCTAATACTAAAGTAAATGAAAACGGGCGTTAAAAAAACGGCTTAGTTGGATTATTATAATTTAGACCTTTCAAGCATGTAACATTTTTCTTTTACCCATTTAGCATATAACATGTCGAGAAACTAAAAGCTTGAAAAAATTATAATATATTTTTCATCTAAAGAATTAAGAAAACCATATCTGAATCTAAAAAATAACAATTTATATCAATTACAATTAACCCTTGCCTATTTTTCTATTTTAAAATTTGTTTTATCCATAATAATAAATTCATATGACATAAAAATTGCTTTACCTGATTTGGATACGACTTATAATAAAAAATTTTCTACTATACCCAGAATAGTTCACCCAAGTTTTCATGTAACCTTGGGTTTTTTATTATGAGGATACAAATTAAATGACGCGCACAATGTAATAAATTATAATTGATAAATAATAAAATGATGCATTAATAACAATAGCGAAGATTATTTTGTTTCAAAAAAAAAAAAATAATTGAAAAAAGACAATGATACTCTTTATGAACTTTACAATATCAACCGTTATTTTCATTATTCTATTTTTACTATTACCGATAAATCAATTAATTCGATTAGTTTACAACTAATTGCGGCTTATGAGAATTAAATTATGACGTAGTTTCGAAATATGAAAGTTGAATTGCGGCTAATTGCAGTTCTCATCTTTTAAGTATTAACTGATATTAGAAACATCACTGTTAGATATTAATATATTTTGATAATAAGTTACATATCATTTTTTGTTATATACACTGAAGGGCGCATTCTGTTTCGAAGAAAAAGCAAATAAGAATATTCATCACACAATTGATAATGAATTGTAGATTTTGTATTATTACGTCCAATGTGTAAATTCAATCTGAAAAAAGTTTTAATTTCTCAATGGTTATATATATATATACTTTTTCAAATCAAAAATTTTCCATTCTAGTCCGTTTGATCATACCATTAAATGATTACCCAAAGTATCAATATTCATTCTATTTCTCATTTATATCTTATTAGAGAATATTTTTTTCTACTCGAGCATTAGAAAGAGTGCTATTTTAAGAATAAGTGCTGTATTTGGATAGTTAAAAGAATAATTCCAATATATGTTTCCATAATTGAATAACTCATTACTTGCATCATTATTATCATTTTCGGACATTAAATCTCTTTTATACTGTATTAGTATATTTTTAATTACAAATAATTATACAACAGATATGTTTATCCGTGCGCCACTGTATTTTGTATATATAAATATAACGAAATTTTTACAAAATATGGGTTTATAAAAACTTTTAAATATATTCCCAATATCAAGCGAAAAGGTAAGTTAACTATTTTTATGTCTGTCTGTAATACTGAAAAATGTCCTAAATATAAAAAATACTTGAAACATACCGTAAAGTTCAGAAAGATAGCACCTCATACTAATAATACTTGAAACAAATGTTACACAGTCGTAAAAAGAGGTGTTATCTTTCCAGACTTTTACACAGGTAAACTAGATAAGTCGGACATTTATTTATTATATTAACAAGTACTTTAAATAATTGATCAAGAGGACTAACTTGTCGAGTTTATATGTGTATATACTTAAAACATTCTTAACATACTTTTCAATATACACATGTAAATTCGATAAGTCAGACGCAGCAGTCAATTGTTTAAAGTATTTGGTTGATAATATAAATAAATGACCGACTTATCGAGTTTACCTGTGTAGTGTGATTTCATACACTCTTAATTCACCTAAAATATTGATAATAATAAAAGTGAATTTGAAATCAAAACAAAATTTAAAATTTTGGGCGGGTGGCGTGATGCAACTTGATTGGTAATTTGAATTTCTAATCTTTTTTTATTTTTTCATGTAGATCCTACCAAATATATCCAATAAACAATGAATCATCATCTAAAGATGATTAAAGAACGAATTTTTATAAATACTAAACGACCTCTATCACTAATCTTAACTAATAAAGATTGGTATAAGATATCAAAAAGCCACAAATCAAGAGTAAAGTGGATCATTAATCAACATGGGAAAGCACATGCTTTTTTTTATGCAATTCATTATGGACATACCTTTATATCATTAGAATTAGTTGATCTTCTTATCAAAGAAAATGTTATTTTATCTAGATATCTTGTGCAAAGATTATTATTACAATTTGGAAAATCTGATCATAGTCTAATTGAACTAAAAATCAAAAATGACATCAACAACAACATTAATAATAACATTAATAACAATAATGGCACAGATCAAGAAATTTCTATGGCTTCTCAAAAATATTATAGAAATCCTTGGGCTTCAAATATTCCTGTATCAATATTTATAGCCTTGTTAAAAGCAGCAAAAGAACAGTATGGTCCAGATCTTCCTTTGAAAGGAAATGATATTGAAACTTTTCATTTTTTGACTGGTGGACCATTATCTATTGATTTGGCTCCAACAAAATTAAAAGAAAATCTTGAAAAAATAAATGATCTTATATTAAATAAAAAATTTGTACCTTTTCCTCCAAGACCAACAATCCCGTTTGAAGACTCAATTGATTATCAAATAAAAAGGCAAATACTTAACCATGAAGAATATCTAGCCAAGGATGGATTTGAAAACAACAAGCAACTGAACATAATTGCCAGAGCAATATTAATTTATCCTGAAATTGTAGAACTTTGGAAACAAATTGGCTACTATGATGTATGTAAAGATGTCAATAATTTAGTATTACAAGGATCTTTGCTGATTCTATTCTATCCAAATCATAAAAATGAAGAAGTTTGTGTTTATCCAACTACAAATGATTTTGTTGAACGGCTTCAACAATTAATCAAAGTTGGATTCAAGCTGACAAAATCTGTTATGGCTGATATTTTAATTTTGTATGAACAACATCTTAATGAAATTGGAGGTACACTTTTAGAAGCTTTTCAGATTGTTGGAAATCTGACAAAACTTGAAATTGTTGAATATTGTGTTGTAGAAACTATCAAGATTAATAGAAATTTGAAAAACCATCAAGTTTTAGATTTTCTAAAAATGCAATTTGAAAAAAATCAATTAGAACACATCTTTCTTAAAGCCCTAGTTTATTATTATTTTGATGATAAAACCAGAAAAAAATTAATTGATTTTCAAATTTTTAAACAAAATAACTCTTCTACTCACAACACTGACAATGATATAAATAATGTCAACACTATAAATAATATCAACAAAAAATCAACTAAGTATCATAATTATGGTTATAATTATTATCCACATAATATTGAGAATTTTGGCAAAAATAATTATTATTGGACAAAATATTATGTTGAAAAATTAATATGTGATGATAATTATAAATTTATAAATTCAAATATTGAAGCACCAATTAACAATATAAGATCATTAAGATTAAGCAGCAACTTCTACAAATGGGTGTTAAAAAATTTCAATCCAGATTCATTAATAACAAGATTGTGTTTTAATGATATAATTATATCTAAAGTTTGGGTTGATAGAGAACTGCAACTTCACCCAGAAAGAGCAATCCCAGCAAGAATAACTTGTTGTGCATTTGAATTGATTTGTATCTATTTACAATGAATTTTGTCAAAATAATATTCCATTTGAATTGACACATTTAAATTTATTAAAAAAGTCAAATAATATTACAACTTTGAGGCCATTTTTTGAAGGTTTTTTGCCTCAAATTTTTAATCTTGAACCAAGTTTTACATATAACAGCAACATCAGTACTCAAGAACATGTATTGGAAAATCAACCTCTTCTTCAATTACTTTATAATGAAAAGAAAGGAAAGAAAATCGAAGTTGAGGAAAGAACCAGATTATGGTTTGAAGAACTGGATCAATTAACCACAAAATTCAATACATATAACAATGATCAGTTCACTTTGAATTTTATATCTTGCACAAAGAATTTTTGGAATAGAATTGTGGAAGAAACTGATTTCATCAACAAATTTAACTCTAAAAAAAGGCAATGTGAGGAGGAGCCAGATTAGCAACTTGGAGTAGGAATTGGAAATGAATAATTATTTCATTTATCTAGCTATTATCTTATATTTTATTTTATTATTAAAAAAAATTTTTTTTTAACTAAAATTACATATTTAAATGTCCTTTTATTATATGTATGCAAAAACTTTTTTTTTAATAAAATAAAAATGATAAAGTGATTAATAAAGTAAAGCTTTGTATGAGTCAAATAAGTTCCTTTAGTTAATATTAATATTTAATATTAACAAATACAGGATAAGTAATGAATATGTTTTATAATATTAGCATATGTTTTTTGGACATTTTCCTGTGCATTCACTATGAAAATTTTCTGTAATATTAGGGTAATAGTAACCAAATAAACATTTCAATAATTAATTCATTTTTAGAAATGAAATATTCACCAAAAATATTTATTTATTTTGAAGGCATGGTTATGGCTACTAATATCGAAAAGTAAAAATACTTGTCCAAGGATATGTTAAAAATCTTTAATACAATTAGTAAAAGTGTATTCTTAAACAAATCAAGATTCAGTCACATCATCACTAAAGGCAGACGGCTGAAAAATGCATGCTTCCAATAAAAGTAATTTTTTATTTAAAGAAAAAAGATGTAAGGATTTTTGTGTGAACTTTTCAAAATCCACAGGAGTAAACTTTTTTCCCTTTTTCTTAGGGATGTTTTTTTATCTGCACATTTGATAATTTTTACATCAATTTTCCTCCATGAATCATCAATTAATTGTAAGGTTGTAATACTTATTCAAATAATTAAAAAAATTTTTGCAGGGTCAAAGTTATCTTCACATTATCATTATTAAGAAATTTATAGAATATAGACATTCAGTGCTGTACACTTACATTCCTGTACTGTATGATCTACAAAATTGAAAAAAAAACTATTTAAAAATTAATACAGAAATACCAATTTGCAGATCATACAGTACATGAATGCAAAAGCATACAGTACTGAATGTCTACTGACTGCTTATCTATTGAGAGAAAAAGGTAAGGTTTTTTTCAACCCTGTCCCGACCTGGACCATTCAGAGCCTTACATATATTTATCTAGGAACTCAAAATAGTTATAGTTCGGATTTTCGTGAGCATGAAAAAATTCTTTGATTGTAGATACATCTGTACAAATTATAAAAATTACAACCTTTTGGAGACTTTGGAATCAATTAACACCACATATTAAAATTTTAAAGTCTTCGAGTGGTCTACGTGAGACTTGTAAATTGGAATTAAATAATGATGCGAATGTTGAATACAATCCAATGATTTTTTAAACAATGGGTTTATAATACTAGTAATAAAAGACTTCAAAATTAAAAGGTTATATCAACAATTGAAACCCTTAAGTCACAAACTCTAGATCTATATGATAGTTATTGGAACTGTTATCTTTATAACAAGGAAAATAATGATTTTTACGTGTTTGGATATGCGAAAAAACAAAGCGAAACAATTGACAATATAATTTAAGAGACAAAAAAAAAGACTCGGTAAAACAAATAAAAGAAATAAATCAGTTGGCTCCTAGAAATATGCTTGATGAAAAAACATATTGGATAACATATCAGGGTAAAAACCAACTCACGTTCATCGATTTGAAAAAAAAATTTCTGTGTACTGAATGTCATGAATGGAAAACATGAATAATTTAATCATACATGATGATGAAATAAGTTTATTTCAATTTCGATTTCGATTCCAAAATCGAAAAGAAATTCTAAATCGAAATTGAAATACTAAATTTGAAAAGAAATTCTAAATTAAGCAATATATTGCTTTTAAATTATGTCGCGTTTAATAAAGATACAGAAAGATATCCTAGAAAATGGGATTTCACTTGTATATGTGTAATGACAACAGAACAAAATGCAATTTGCAACCGATGCAATAATATTTAGTGAAAAGATGTCCAAACCCGCCTATTGATTTTATCTTACATAAATATCAAAATGATGATTTTTTGGATGAAACAGGTTCTTTGGCAACTTCTAATTTTTCAAATGTTCTTGGAACAAGGAGTTTGCCTAATAATAAATCAAAATCAAAAAAGAAAAAAAAACAATAATCAAATGATTTTTATTTTGAGTTTGAATCACTATCAGGATTCCATCATCAGGAAAATAAATCTCGCGTAAACCTACGCGGGATTTAAAACTGACCAGCATTATGCGGAAATGTTAACAGAATTACCAAAATATCGACATAATGCTGGCCAATTCTGAACCCTATGTAGGTTTATGTAAGATTTATTTTCCTGATGATATTATATTAATTTCGAAAACTTAAATAATTTTTTAGAAAGTTTCGAATTTTATTGAAAGATTTTCGTCACTATGTATGTTCCTGACTTGTTTGAATCTGGTAAAATGGTTCGAATATTGTTATTATTTAAAGACATGAATAAGTTATAAGCAATAAAGTTATTTATTGTATTAATTTCGAATTCGATTCTGATTTCAATTTCGATTCTGGTTTCAATTCCGATTCTGGTTTCAATTTCGGTTCTGATTTCGAATTCGATTCTGATTTCGAATTTCGATTTTGAATTTGGATTTGGGATTTTGAATTCATCAAGAATATTTTGATTTCGAAACTTGTGTGATTTTTCGAAAGTTTCGAATTCGAATTTATTAAATGATTTTCAACATCATCAATCGATTTAATCAAATGAAAACACATTTTCAGAAGGTTATACACAGAAATATATTTTAGCATTAACGGACGTATGAAAAGAAAATAAAAGTAACAATGATAATAGAGATAATAACAACATTAACAGGAATGTTCATAAAATAGAAACGTAAAAATCATATTATCAGATTGGATAACAAATAATATTAGATTTGAGGTGTTGTGGATGACTTTGTGATAATTTTCTTATTAAAACTAGATTAAGCTGAACCTAAGCTGAAATAATGACATCCATACACTCACCTGCCAAAAGTATCCGGACAAGATGTAGATCATGTAAATTTCCGCGACATTTCTGCGTGTTTTACACAAAAATACTCGAAAACTAGTGAGAAAACATGGCTTTTTGTCCTAAGTAACTGC